CCCAATGTCATGCTATACACAAATACCATTGTAAAAGCCCCAGTTATAGGTATTTTCATTACACATGCATTAAAACTATTTTATTGTTCATTTTAAATGAATTGAAATTATAAAAGTCTTCCAAGTACAAAAAGAGCATTTAAAAGTTCTCAACAGTTAACACCATCTGAACTTCTACTTCATTTGGTCTCTGGTGGGGAGTTGTCTCATTGGAAATCATACCACATCTTCTTATTTTATATAGTTACCCAGGGTTGGCAAAATCCCGGGTTTTAAGAGTATTGCCCAGCCCAGTGGGAAAACCCGGGTTTTACCGGGTAATACTGGGCAATACTGGGTAATCACAAATGCAATACATTAAAGATTTTTATAAAAATAAGTTTTAGTATTTTAATTTATAAGTTCACTTGTTTGAGACTCTTTATATAAAATGTATAAATCTGAGAAAATATTAATGGTCCAGCAACTCTAAGGCAAGTGTACATGAAGACACATAAGACAAAGATGAAAATTTTTCTTAGTAATCCTCCTAGAATTAGTAAAAATTTATCTAATCACCATTCTGTTTAGATTGGTCAAAGTGTTGACCATGTTGACTGTTATATGTAAGGACAATTACTTTTAAACATTTTTTATTCCTTACTAAAAATGTTTACTAAGTTTTAGCATATGTTTATGTATACCACTAATTAATAAGTAATTATTCAGATTATATACACATATTTGTTTATATAACAATAATCAGCCTTGCGATTTCTATAAGTGTTCATGGCCTGTGACTGTCCCCTTAGGGTGTTTATTTAGCAATATGATTGTATAACAATTAAAATTTACAATTCACTTACCATTTTTTCAAAGTTTAAAATTGGATTATTGAAACAAAGCTTGGAAATTAACAAGGTATCCTGAAATGTGCAAAACTTGTATTCTGCCTACATAGAATAGGTGGAGAAAATGAAGAAATTGAATTTTCAATCTTCAGGAATGACTCTCAATGGTTATTTTTATAAAATGTATATATTTAGCTATAATACTATTAAACTACAACAAGTCTTTACTATTTTGTGTGAAAATAAGCTTGAAAAATCATATTACCCAGTATTGCCCAGTATTACCCATTTCTGGGAGTATTGCCAAGCCCAGAAAAAAACGGGTTTTCCTGCCCGGGTAATACTTTGCCAACCCTGTAGTTACACGCACATGTATATGTATATATATACTTATGCTTATAGGGGCAGGCAAGTATGATAGTAACAAGCGCTATTTACCATAAATCTTATATACATTGCAAGCTTCAAAACTTCAAAGGGCCAGGACACCATTTCAGTACTGTGGCCCATGATAAAATTCTATAAAAGCGTGGAGGAACCTTCCAAGAAACACAAATCCTGAAAAAAACAAATTAGGCCAATCCAAAGATAACATGTACAAGAAAAGGAAGAAGCAGTATTATTCCTACAAACTTTTGCATGGTCTCAATACAGCCCAAAAGACATCAGGTTTGCTCTATGAGCATCTAGAGTAGAGGTTAAAAAAACCATAACAACAACAAAAAAATCAAAACATATCAATAGGATTTGAATATAATTGATACATGTATCAGGTGCTATCAATTCAAGCTTGAAGGTGGAATAACAGGCAAAACATGTTTAGTCCATGTTTAAGTGGTGAACAGCTGTTGTGCTACACAAAATGAGTCAATATGTTTAATAAGAGTGCACATACCGACTTTTCTAAATATATTGAGGACATATACCAATTAAAATTACATGTACAAAAGTACTAATACCTAATTCCAATATACATATATATATATCGGCAGTATGATTAATTCCTCTGTAGGAATTTCATACAAAACAATATTTCACATCTAATTACTTGATGTTCTGGTAGGTACAAATGTATATCTCATGTTATACATTTGAACAAAAAAGTGTAACTTTGTGACATTTCTCTGTGATTAAGAAGTTAATGTTGCAATGGGATATTTTAAACACTTTCAAACTTAAAATGAAAATTCTAAAAGTATTATAGAAACATGTATAATTTCATCAAGATAGTTTGAACATTGTACATTGTGCCTGAGGGAAAATGTGTATCTTTTTTTTAAAGGCTTTATATTTGAGTTGTAAATGTTTTGGCATTGTCCAAGTTTTAATGCTGCAATTCCCTTGCCCTAAGTTGACCATAAATGGCCCATAGTTTTATTTATTCTTTTTGTAGATCCCTTTTGGAAATAAAGTTCCCATTCAATTCATCATACTTTGGCTTTCCTTAATTTTGCTGATGGTTATGTAACAGAACTCAGAACTGCATTGAAAACACCAAATTTTCAAAATGTAATGGAACCATGCATGTAAGCATCTCATCACTTCATCCCCTGATTCTTGTATCAACACCAGCAGACCAGTAGTACTAAAGAACATCTTCTACATGTTCTAAAAGTCTTAAACTCTACAAAATTCCCAACAAAATCAAATGTGTACAATACTATGGATTCTTTTTCATGGATACCATTTTTTTTGTAGATTGAGGTAAATTTGTCTTTTTCATGAATATTTGATTTAATTGTTATGCCAGAGTTTGCATACAAGAAAATAAATACTTCATCGAACATTTAACTTCATGGTTTACCCATGAAATCCTCTATAATTGGTATCGCAAGAATACTAATCCATAACATCTTATCTTAATAAATAATTTATCAGGAATTTTTAATGGCACTAATAAAAAAATGTCTTATTCTAAGCAGTAAGGTTGGTGGACTTCTTAAAACTCCTTCCTTAGTGACAAATTATTGTCCTAATGGTATGGTACATGCAGTCTGAATGAGACTCCCACACTTGTCACCAAAGAGTAAATACAACTTTTATTATCATACCTTCTAGACTACTATCAATCGATTTAAGTATTTACTTTATATAAAATGGGTTTGTTTGCATTTGTGCACTTCTTTTAAACAAACACACTTTACCTTATTAAATTTCTTATATTACCATGTGTTACCCCTAAACTTTAACATGTATGCACATCACAACCAAGAACAACCAATGTTGATCAATTACATGCATGGATGCATTTGTTTTAAGGCATCAATATTACTTGCATAACATCTATAGTTTAAACATATTTCTATATACAGTTTTAAAGACTGCTTTCAGATATGCATTAATCAATAAGTTGGAAATAGGCGAAACTTTTTGTTATTTTTGCTAACAGTAGTACTTTTACCATTATTTGACATTAAGACTATTTTCAAAATTGCTTCATGGTTTTGATAGGTTTTTGTCTCACTGACATACATTCACATCTTCTTTTATTCATAATAATGTAGTGTGACCTGACCTTTACACATGCACAACAAACTACCGCCCAGTCTGTTTGTGTTATCAAGTATTTTGAGGTGATTAGGTTTATTAATGAAGTGCAAGAAAACATTTTCTGATTTTTTTAACCCTGAAGATACATGTACCAATACTTTTGACCTGCAGTCAGAGTAAGTACAGGTAACAGTTTTATGCCAGGTGGTAAGTAGGATTTTTACCAAAGTCAAAGACACTGCAGTATGCATAAAAGTCCTAACGATATTCAGCCAGGTTAAGGTACAAAATGTATGCTTATATTCAGCCATTGCACAGATAGAATTTTTTCAATTAAAATGGTTCTAGATTAACATTTTGGTGCAGATATTGAAATAAAGAAGACTACTTGATTGTATACAAATCAAAATTTAATGGACAATCAGACTTTTCCAAATAAAATAAATGGGGAATGTGTCCATGGGACACACATGATGCCCCCGCTTGCATATAATGTTATAAAGGGATATAACTCAAGAACTGTAAAAGTGACGCTACCCAAATTTGTACTTGATCTGAGTTTTGTGGTAATAAGCATTGTGTATACATTTCACAACATTTGGTTGAGGCAAACAAAAGTAAGAGAACGGAAACGAAAAATTCAGCAATTTTTCCATTTGTAGAGGGGCATAACTCTAGAACAGCAAAAGTGACGCCACCAAAATTCGAACTTGATCTGTGTTTTGTGGTAATAAGAATTGTGAATAAGTTTCATAACATTTGATTGAGGCAAACTAAAGTAAGAGAATGGAAACAAAAAATTGCATAACTCTAGAACGGCAAAAGTGACATCACCAAAATTCAAACTTGATCTGTATTTTGTGGTTATAAGCATTGTGTATAAGTTTCATAATATTTGGTTGAGGCAAACTAAAGTTAAAGAACGGAAACGAAAAATTCAGCAAATTTTCCATTTATAAAGGGGCATAACTCTAGAACGGTAAAAGTGACACCACCAAAATTCAAACTTGATCTGTGTTTTGTGGTAATAAGCATTGTGTATAAGTTTCATAACATTTGGTTGAGGCAAACTGAAGTTAGAGAACGGAAACAAAACATTTAGCAATTTTTCCATTTGTAAAAGGGGCACAACTCTAGAACGGTTAAAGTGATGCCACCAAAATTCAAACTTGATCTGTGTTTTGTGGTAATAAGCATTGGGTATAAGTTTCATAACATTTGGTTGAGGCAAACTAAAATTAGAGAACAGAAACCAATTTTGGGACGTACATATGGACGTACAGACGGACAAGGGTAAAACTTAATGCCGCCTCCGCTATGGCGAGGGCATAAAAAGAAATTCTACATCCCTTTTATGCCTTCACTACATTGTTCAACATAACATCAAGTGTATTTATACTATATTTTTAAGTGACCAAAATGCTTTCATAGAAGATTATAAGCATTCATTTCTAGGACAATATTCCCTTCTCACATAGTTAATATCTTACAAGTGATTTATTTTGTACTGATCCTAGACTGTAACATGTTTTATTCTTTTATTCAGTCCTGGTATTAAAGACTCTTTACAAGTCAAGCTGTTACAAGGACATGAATCACAAGACATCAGGTGTAGGACAATTGATTTTTATCCTTAAGCTGTATTGATACAGTAGCAAAGAAATATTATGTTTTACTTACATGTAAATCCTTGTAGAACCTATTTCTGGAGTAAATCCATCACTTTTTCACAATATATCCTAATGAATTAAATGGTAGTATAAATAATTCCAGTGAATTAAGCATATTGAACATCACATGACAATAACTCCAATGCTGAATGATCAAAATAATGAATTAAATAAAATCCATACTTGCACAAAACTGACTCTTTGAACACTTGAGAATAATTCCATTATGTTTTTTTCACAATACTTATTCCATTTAATTTGTATAGAAAACTATCCTAGATTTTGCCATTAATGAATACTCCTTTACGGAAATATGAATCCCTGCAAATATAAAGAACATTTTACTAAAACATAATATACACATATAAACTGATTCTATCATACAACATAGAATATCACTTTTAACTTTTTATATTTTTCTGCTGATGTAAAAATTTGTGCCTGCAATATTAACCACTTGATTGATATGGTGCCTTTTGCAAGACAATTAACCGCTAGTATCCTTTTGGTGTGTTGTTAGAGTGTTGTTTGCTTTATGTGTTGCAAGAATGCTTGTTTCCACTAACCTTTCAAACCTAATTTTCTGTTTTTGTCTTAAGTCTTTTTTATACTTATTGTGTTGCTAACTTTGTATAAGATCTATTAAAATAACAATATGCCTAACATTTATTTTTTTGTGATTAAATATCAAAGAACTCTGTGCATGCATATTCATAATTAAACCAATTTCAACATGGGACTCTTTTTCTAAGAATAAAATGCCTAATCAGGAAACTTAGTCTATAAATACCAATAATATTTACATTAAAACATCAGCAATACATTATATGAACTTTACACATATATATATTTTAGAGTTTAAAAGTGTTCAGAATGTAATTTAAATGAAAAAGCACATAACTACAGTAAAATCAAAAGAAATACTGTATAAATTAATCATGCATTTGAATACAGAAGCCACACTACATGTAGGTACACATATCTGAGGACCATAAACAAGATACCCACACCTTTTATCCAATATGTTTCTTTTACAATATTAGTCAATTGTTCCTTATGATTTCATCCTAATTTGGCATTTAACTTTTTTGATTCAAGCTTCACTGATAAGTCTTTTGGAGATGAAATGAGCATCTGGCATACACAATTAGAAGCCTGGTATCTTTGATGAGAGTCCAGTTAACAAAAGTGTATTCATATTGCAAAATTAAATCAACTCTTTGCCTCTTTTAATTTTCAAATAATCTTCTTTCCTACCCAAAATTCATTTAATTACAAAAATCTCAAAATTTCTTTGTAACAGTTTAATCTTTTTCCCTGATAAACTTAAACAAGATTTTGACAAATAGAAAATGAAGTATAATTAAATTCATTGAATTGTAATATTAGTCTAAGGAATTGATTTGTAGAGCCTCTTTGTTAATAACAGACAGAATACCTCACATATCTCTACACCGGAAGTATCCCACCCCCATCTAACCCCACCCTGTAGGCTGTAGTCGAGACAGTTGATCCATTTCCTCACTGGGTCAAATGTTTTCAACATTTATAAATGGATTTTTAAGTTGTATTTAAATTTCTCAATTCAAAATTTCTATGGAAACCTGGCATTTTTATTATAATGATTTTCAATACAAAACTTAGAAATGTCAGAAAATTGAATAAGGAGTGACTTGTACCAAGTTAACACTTAACCCCAGGTTCTTTACAGTATGAATAAACTTTTCACACATTGTTATGCAATTCAAATTATTATATAATCATCACATGAGCTACTGATTGGTTTCTGATGCAAAATATTTTGTTTTTAATCCCTTAACTTCAGTTAGTCATTACTTTGAACTTAGATCTATGTTATGTGTTGAAATGAAACTATTTTATTTCTTGAAACATGCATGCATTCCAATCATGAATACAACAAAGGTATTTCGATGGTCTAGTTGCACAAGAAATTAAAACTTTTTTGTACTATTTTTAAGGCTCTTATCAGTGCAAACAAAATCACCTGTGTAAAATATATAAGCTAACTAATCTAAATATCAAAATTGTTCATTTAATACTATAATACCAAAATCAATACCGTCTGACTTTGATCTATGGTCAGATGACCTTCGGACCTTGTAAACTAGTATGGTGACATATGGAATGTGTTTTAAATATCTACCTTTTCAGATGGTGGAAGATGGCTTATAAAAGCCATTTCAGGTTTTTGTTTTTTTATCAAACCCACTTTGTTTTTATAACACAAGGGCATAGTTTGGATATTATCAAATCGCAAACAAATAAAACATTTTACAGAGAAACTTATAAATTATGACAATGCACATCTGAATTTGTTGAGTTAAAGATAGTTTTCAAATACGGAAAATATAACCAGAAGTCTTTACAGTCAAATTTGCAGTTTCTAAAGAATTGTCTATGTAAATATAATTCTGGTCTTCAAATCATACAACATAAAAAAATATAATTCGTAGTTAAATCTTGTCATTTAATTCCAATTTAATGAAGATTAAAGAAGAACTGTATAATTGCATCACCTATGCAACAATCATTTTCAACCTTAAATCTATTTTAATGATCATTATGGTGAAACACTTTAAGAACAGATTAACACAGACTTTAAGTTAATAAGTAAGCGGTGGCACTTTGTTCAGACTGTGGTACTATCTACTTATCATTTAAGTCAGTCCTGTACAATCAGTCCTGAGCAGATCATTTGGTACTTATCAGTACTTAGATGAGAAAAGCTACTTTTGGTCAAATTTTATCTTGGTACTTTATAATCATCTGATAGTTCACACAATTGACACAATGGCATAAATAGCAAAAAAATATTCAAGTTTAAACCAGGTATAATAGAGATTAGTACTAGAAGCCAAACTTTAAGTATCTAAAAGATGTCTAAAGGGTTATTAAATAAACTGTATAGTCAATATCTCAAACAGCGGCAGCAATGGGGGGAAATTCAGGTTTCAGGCATGTTGGTAATTTTATCTAGGGATTAAAGATCAAGACATATCTTTAAGCCTCTTATAAAGATGTCTAAAGGTCAGTTTAACTTAAGTTTACTATAGGTAAATATATAGAAAATGCATTATCACTCGATTTTGAGACACTTAACGATAATTTGGCCAGGAAAATGAAACACCCAATACTGATACAGAAAAGGAAATGGACTTTCAACCTTTTGCATATTTTAATAATTGTGTACATTATCCTGAGCAGCTGTAAAATGAAAAAAAAAAAACAAAAAAAAAAAAAACTTATATGTAATCCCTTCTCACATCTTGCTACTAGAGGGATGATGTGAATTTGTACAATTTGACGATGCTACAACCAGCTGGTTACAACCAAAACACCTGCTTTTTAAGATATTGATAAAAGCCCCTGAAAAGTGCAATTTTTCAACACATTTTCTTGTGCAACATTGAAAAAAATCTCCCTCCTCCAATCTTGTATTTTATGTTACATCTTCTCAACTGCATGAAAAGATATAATTTACATACCAAAATCTTCCCCAACTGTTCATCTAAATAGCCCCATGAGCCCTGCTTGATAGAGTTTTGTTGTCATTAACAGTTAACTGTTCAATATCATCCATACTCAAATAGGATTCATTAATATCTGTAAAATACAAAACTTAAATAATGTACAAAAATTCAATTCACATAATATACAATTCATCTTTCAAGTTTAAATCTATGTTACATAAAGCCATGATTAAAAGTGAAATCTGGACACAAAAATATCTTTATTTGTTGTCACATCTCCCGACTAGCAAAGTCAGGGAGACTGACAGAGTGAGGGGGAGAAGTTTATACTGAATTATACTGGCAAAAACAAGGAGGGTCTACATACAAATTCCATAAATAACACTTAAAGTAGAGTAAGGAATTTTCTATCTTAACATAGATCATCTTCATATAAGAATTCTATAAAGTTGTGTTTCCTGGAATGTAAAAATCCACCTATTGAGCCTTTTTTTTGTCAACCGTCTTCAAAGAAAGGCTTGATGATCTAATACAATATTTACTTAACCCGAATAATTCAGTCGTTATATTCCGCTGATCTACGAAGGCTACATTAACGCCTTAACGTCTTCCTCGATAAAGACCGTCAACCGGAAAATTCACACTGCTATGCAATACGGGAATTTTTATTAAAGTTGGCAGCTAAAGAAGGAGGAGTTCCCGATGTTAATTGATGTTAAATGATGTAAACTGATGTTAATTGATGTTAATTAATTATTATCGGATTTGTGTTAATTGAACACACGTGATTGGTAAGACAATTACAAGACAGTTGCGCAGACTCATTATCCTGATCGCCACCGATTGGCTCTCTCTCACAGAGAGCAGGCGACGCGGCCAATGATCATAAGGAGTTCAAGCCCTCGTGTGGGAGAAAATCGGACACGGAAAGGGCTTGAATTATTCGAGTTAATATTTACTTGCATTGTTCAATGTTCTATTGCAGTTATAGTGCAATTCTGTATCTGAATTTTGTTGTATAAGGTTCTTTAAGCTACTTTCTACATCTTCTCTATATTGTAAGTTTAACTGAAACTAACTTAAAATCCATCAGCCATTTTGCAGTGCCTTGAGTGACATCATTCAGTGATTCATGTATAGATGTGAAGTTGTCTTCCACAAGAGGACACTCTTTAGTACATTGAAGAATTGATTGGTAAATCGATAGGTATTTAATGCCACTTTCAGCACTGTTGGCCAGTTTTAATTGGAGGAGAAGAACAACCCCTATGTAGAAACAGTTAAAGACAAAAAAAATCTGTGAACAAATTGTTTACTTTTGATTGTTATTTGGATATTATGAGTATTCAGATCATTTAGGGAAATCTGAATTATTATATAATCAGAGTAGATTAAATCCCTGTTGATTAACCTTCAATTTGACCTCACAAATTGCATACTAATACCAGTGGTAATCATATAAAGTTTTATAACAGTGATATCTCAACCTGTCAATCATATGTTGGCCAAACCCCCTGTTATGAAATGACACTCAGACAAAGATTGATCAATTATAAAGTAGTTCCAATATATGTTTCACAACAACAAGAAATGCCTAATCTTATCCAGTATATAAGTAACCCTAAAATAGAAATTTCTAATAAAAAAATTGATCTGTACTTTACATACTGGTAAATTAATATAGGATTAAGCTCTATTGAGCATGCTACGGTATATGCACAGACTTTAAATAAAATTTCTGAATCTAAAGGAAGAGGTAAAAAATGAAGCGTTGTTTAATATGTTAGCTTAAAATAAATTGGAACCCATTAGAGTATTTTTTTTTCAAAAAATGTGCCCATCTTTAGAGACATTTCTTTTTTATTTTGCTTAAAAATGACTCTTGCTCTTTCACAATAGCAATGTGCTAATTTTTTATCAATTGGTTTGAATTATTTTCAAATGGTGATTTTTTTAGGCTGTTTGCTAGTGAAAGGCCTTGATGATAAATTTTGTTGTTTAAAGTTTGTCTATTGGTCAAAGTTCTGGTAATAAAAGAAAAGTTGCTTAAAATTAATAAAAACTTATCATTGAAGGATAACAACTCCTACAATTGTAAATTGATCTTTTTAGTAATTTTTCAACACCTTGTCCAGCTGAATTTTTATAAACAAATTCTTTCTTTCAAGATAACAGGCAAATAAATTAAAATTGGTACAAAACAAAAATTGTCAAATAATAAGCAAAACAAGAATGCTACATGTATGCACACCCCCACTGATACTTCATGTATCAGAAATAGGAAGTAAGTGTCTGACAGATCCGAAAAGAACACAAATATTGCCAATTGACCAACTCCAAGTCTAAGTATGGTCACCAAAGCTGTGCAGTATTTCTAACATACATGTATACTTACTTGATTTTTCAATAGCTACTACTTAAATTAGTCATAAATACTGGACTTAGTGTGTGATTTGTGAAAAAAATGCCTCAACTGTAACCATACCCCAACTCTGGAACAACAAACGGAAATTAAAAAGGAATGAAAGGCAGCTTCCTTTCATCAATCCACACAATAATCTCAAGTTTGGGGGAAATCAATTCAAGAATACTGGAGTTAATGTTCGATTTGTGAAAAATTGCATGTAATCAAGGAGTCAAATTTGTGTAACTCTGAAATGATAAAGCCAAAAATAAATAAATTTGAAAGGGAGCTTTCTTCCATCAGTCAAACAATTCTAATAAATGTCGGAATAGAGTTATATGAGAATTGGTTAAAACAAATTTGAGTTATAGTACGAAGTGTTGATGGACAGACATTGGCATACCATGATGTACATAATATCATTATATGGTTAAGATTGTAAGAAACTTTCAATAAATTGTAATAAAATGCTCCGCTGGGCGCAGCTTGATACGACGGTAGAGGTCGAACCCTGAACAGTCGGGGCAAGTATGGACACAACATTCAATCTTGATACAGCTCTGAATTTGGATTGTAATTAAATATTTGACACAGCATAGGTTTCTGACACAGAATGAATGTGGTCTAAGAACTTAAAAATTTTTCATTTACCTATTATTATCCAATATCCAAAATCTAAATACATACACGGTTAAATTCAGCATATCAAAGAACCCCAAGAATTCAATTTTTGTTAAAATCAAACTAAGTTTAAATAAATCAAAAATAACCAACTTAAAATGGAAAATTTTAAAGAAAACAAAAAAAGGAAAAAAAGGGAACCCCCCCCCCCCCCCCAATTATTTGAACCCCCTTATGATTCATCACCCAAAAACTCAATTCCAGCCTTCCCTTTGTGGTATGGTACCTTGCAGTACAATTTCAGAGAGATCCATACACTTGAACACATGTTATTGTCTGGAAACTAGAAAAATGCTTGTTTTTTGGCCCCAAATTCCTAAACGTTTAGGGCAATTACCCCCAAACTCAAACCCAGCTTTCCCTTTGTGATATGGAACCTTGTAGTACAATTTCATAAATATCCATACACTTACACACAAGTTATTGTCCTGAAACTAGAAAAATGCTTGTTTTTTGGCCCTTTTTGGCCCCTAATTCCTAAAATTTGAGGCAATTACCCCCAAAATCAATCCCAGCCTTCCCTTTGTGGTATGGTACCTTGCAGTACAATTTCAGAGAGATCCATACACTAACACACAAGTAATTGTCTGGAAACTAGAAAAATGCTTATTTTTGGCCCCTTTTTCCTAAACGTTTTGGGCAATTACCCTTAAACTCAATTCCAGCTTTCCCTTTGTGATATGGAACCTTGAAGTACAATTTCAGAAAGATCCATACACTTACACACAAGTTATTGTCATGAAACTAGAAAAATACTTGTTTTTTGCCCCTAATTCCTAAAATTTTGAGGCAATATTACCCCCAAAATCAATCCCAGCATTCCATTTGTGATATAGAACCTTGTGGTACAATGTCAGAGAGATCCATACACTAACACACAAGTTATTGTCTGGAAGTTACAATAAACTGCTTCGCTGAGTGCAGCTGGATACGCCCGCAGAGGTCCAACCCTGAACAGTTTAGGCAAAAATGGACACAATATTCAAGCTTGATACAGGTCTGAATTTGGATTGTATTAAATATTTGACATATTATAGGTTTCTGAATAAATGTAGTCCAAGAACTTGAAATTGGTTATATGAATTGAATTAATATTCAATTAAAGATTTCTTGCTGTTGTGCAATACACTGTGCTGTTGCGCAATACTTAGTAAATCTGTTGTCAGACTATAAACAATTAAAGTTCAATTAATTCTCAATGTCATATTAGAAATTTATGAAAATGTAAAGGGAGCTTACATCAATAGATATAAACAATTAACCAAAGTTTCATGAGAATTGCTGACAGCATTTTTGAGTTATTGTCCGAAAACTGGAAAATCCCCCCTTTTTTAATGAATAAAACCCCATAACTCAGAAATGTAAAATGTAAAATTTATAAAATTCTAAACAAAGCTTACATCAATAAATATAAACAATTCACCAAAGTTTCAAAAGAACTGCTGAAAGCATTTTTGATTTTTTTGTCCGAAAACGGGAAAATCCCCCTTTTTTATGAATAAAACCCTGTAACTCGGAAACGTAAAATCTAAAATATATAAAAATCAAAAGGGAGCTCATATCAATAGATATAAAAAATTCACCACAATTTCTTGTAAGTTGGTGAAAGCATTCTTGAGTTATTGTCCAAAAACTGGAAAATCCCCCTTTTTTTAATGAATAAAACCCCATAACTGGGAAACGTAAAATCTAAAATTCATAAAAAACTAAAGGGAGCTCACGTCAATAGATATAAACAATTCACCAAAGTTTTATGCAAATTGGTTAAAGCATTTTTGAGTTTACGTCCAACATGTTGACGACAGACGGACGGACAATGGTATACCATAATACATCCCATAAACGGGTATATAAAAATGCTTATTTTTGGCCCCTAACTCCTTAACTGTTGGTACCATAACCCCCAAAATCAATCCCAACCTTCCTTTTGTGGTATTGAACCTTATGGTAAAATTTCATAGAGATCCATTCACTTAAACTAAAGTTATTGTGCAATAAAATGCTCCGCTGGGCGCAGCTTGATACGACCGCAGAGGTCGAACCCTGAA